TTTAAAATATGCTATAATATTCTATATAAAGTTCCGCATCTTTTTATGTCAATTCGGACTAAACTGAGTCATTGTTGTCGACTGATTGAAAGTAACCTAACTGTTTCAGATGTTCAAGCGAATGCATGCATCATTTTGTTTTCAGAGTTTAATTTTCTACTCAATATGAGAGTGTGAGTGTGAGTGTAGTTCTTATTTTCATTCACATGCACAACCACCCACACCCTTCTTTATTAAAATGAGCTTCGATTTTTAACATTCATTTTACATACTAATCTATAAAATATCTCAGCCTTATCTATTTGTACTCTAATTGAACAAAATTTTGAAAGTATTCGTTCAATGTTCCATACAAAATTCATTCAAGCTACCAACCATAAGAATTTACATTTTCGTTTCACGATAACAAAAATAAAACAGTATTTGATATGTAGTATAAACATGGAACACTTACACCTTAATAGAAAAACTTTTTAAAAAAGTTTTCTTTTATATCATATTATAGAGTCCTGCGCGGGTTTGATTTTTCGAACCCGCACCCGACCCGAGGTCTTTTAGTCGTACCCGTGCCCGACCCGAGCCCGACCCGACCCGACAAGGTTCAACCCGAGCCCGACCCGACCCGAGCCTGACCCGACCCGAGGACAGTTGAATCCGACCCCGACCCGACCCGAGAGATTTAAATTCGTTTATTTTATAAAGATACATCAGTTTATTGCAATATTAAGCATACAAAATGATAGAAGCTTTATAGCAATAAAAAACACATAGATAATCATGATTGCAAAAAAAACCATCACAACTTAGTATGATCACATTTCCATTCAAATACATACATTTCAAACAGTTAAGATCGATAATGATCATAACAATAAGTATCGTACAAATATCAATAATACATCTTCAATTTATACAAAACAACTGAAAAATTTCGTAAAAAAATAAGAGAGTCAAGCGATTCTGGTGCTATTTGTTGACGTCGAACTTCAAGAATCCGACCTGTTTTACTGAATATTCTTTCAGATACAGCAGAACCTGCAGGTACTGCTAAGAGAGAACATGCCAATAATGATAACCTATGGAGCATCAAATTTAAATTAATTTATTGAATTTTTCTTGTGCATTTAAGGAGAATGATATAGTAATCAAGAAACTCACTTTTGTATATGATAGAGTGTTTTTGCCACCGTTGTAAAAGTGATTCTCCTTTTGGGTATGATATTTTCGCTTTAATATAATCATCTACTTTATCCATCGGCCTCTTATCATCATCGTCTGATGATGAGTCTACAAATGCATTAAAAGACTTGAGAACATCGTGTACAGTGTCTATTTTAATACGTTTTTGATGTGTTGAGGAATTGTTGTTGGTACCTGTCTCTGTTGTTTCTTCATCGACTTGTTGATCTATACCTAGAGTTTTTAAAAGTATTCGTATATTTTTAATAACAGCATTACGTTCTGATTTCATTAGACTCTGAGAATCATTGATCAATAGAATTGAGTTTTATTATTCTATGAGTTTAAGACGAACGAAAATAGAGGGCAGAAGCATACATACGCAAAAAAATCTGACCCGATAAAAACCCGACATTTTTTAATTTCAAACCCACACCCGACCCGACCCGACGGCTGACAGACCCGTACCCGACCCGACCCGATAAGATTGAACCCGAGCCCGCCCGCACCCGACAAGATTGAACCCGAACCCACCCGCACCCGCGGGTCGGGTCGGGTCGGGTTGCAGTACTCTACACCGCGGTCAGACGCAGTTCAAGATAAGACCGCGTCTAGATGCAAGAAATGTTTCACTGGAGACGCGTTTTATTGCGTTTCTTTGCTGCGATTTAAACGCAACGAAACGCCATTCAGACGCGTTTTGATCAAAAAAATATTTACATGGGAAACGATATTAATTTAAGAAAATTCGTTTTTAGAATAGGTTTTTATTTTGTTGTTACTTTGAAACTCTGTAGTTGCAAAACTGGAGAAAAGTCAATCGAAATCAAGGAAGATTTTTCAATTGGGGAAAATAAACCATTGAATAGGAAATCATCATCATTATTATCTTCCATTTTAGTTTTTAGAATGAAAATTTATTTCTCATTGTTCATTTTTATTTTTATTTAAATATGAAGATATCTATAGAAAAAAACTATATCGTTAGACATTTAATTATCTCTTAGTCTTATTAATGACTTAATAGATCTGCGTAGGTTACTAATTGAGTTAGTCAATCGAGATATTGCAATGGTCAAATATCAAATGAAATCATGTCGATAAAATTTCTTAAACAATTATAAATTACTCAGTTACATCGATATCGTTTTATAAACCGAGATCATTTATCTTTGTATATTATCATAGAATTTCAATGTCTACTGGAGTGAACTTATTTCAAACAAATGTATTGATTTTAAATTTTCGTTTTAGGAAAGGATTTCTTTATCTTGAAATAAAAGAAAAACGTTTTAATGATAAGTTACTTTTTCAAAATGATCAATATATGCATTAAAAGTTAATAATAATGATAATAGAATTAGAATTCCAATTTCAGTTGCTTTTGTAACACGGAAAAATTGTCCTATAAAATCCGGTAAATGGGCTGCACTCGATAATGGATTTTCACTAAACAAAAATTAAGGATTACTTTAAATTAAATTCGGCTTTATTTTTAAATTGCATACCGATAAATGTGGTAGATAACATGCAGCACAAATATTAAATGGATTATATTCATCATAATTTAATGGATGTTCATCAATTGGATTTTTTTCAGAAACACTTAATACTTTTAGTGTCTAAACAAAATAATAAAAAAGACGAGTTTATATTGTCTTTTGTTCGTCTTCTAAAGTAATTGAACCAAAATGATGTTTCATTTAACAAAGAATAAACTCAATTGTTTTCAAATAAATCAAAAAAACACGAAGAATTTCGATCAACAGATTTGATATATCTTGAAAGCATTAAAGATATGTTTTCTTTCTTGTTTTTTTGGTTTATTTTAAAACCTTTCAAAGTTGAAGTCAAGAAAGAATGAGAATGTTTGGTTTGAAAATGAAATATAAATACTAAAGCTAAAAAACCTATTGAGCAACATTAGGTGCTGGTTCCAATTCCAATAAACATTTGGCAAAGCTTGTTGCAGTTTTATAATTTGTTAACTTAAATGCTTGATTAAGTGAAGATTTTAATATCATGATTATCTTTTGCTAAATCTTTTTTTTTGCCATTGACATTTGTAAAACCAACAATATATTCTTTACATATTTCAGTTAATTGTTGACTCTCAAGAATATCTTGACGCGATTCAACAATACATAATGGAACAGATAATAATATTGAACGAAATTTTTCAACAGCTTCTTGAAATTTTCCATTTGTTGTTAAACGATAAGCGATTTGAACACGTCCAACTGCTGGATAAAATAGTTTTGGTGAATGGACTTCACGCCTTAATAATTAAAATAAAAATTTTAAAATATTTATTAAATAAACAAATAAATACAAACCAATTTCTTAATGAAATATGCATATAATGATGGTAACGATCGAAGTGCTGTAAAAGCTGTACGTGAACGTGAATATATTTGAATAAAAACATACAAGATCCAGGTGGTAATTCAATTTCAGTATCACTCCAACCTTCACCTTGTTCATCCTCATTATTATTAAGATTTTTTCTATTAAGAACATCTTCAATTTGTTCTTCATCATCAGCCTAATCTTCACCACTTGTTGCTATTTCATCAATATGAAGATTTAAAGCAAGTTTTGCTGTTATGTTTGATATTAAATTTGCTTTGATTCTTGTTGACTTATTGAACATGGTGATAAAATTAATTTAGCATTTAGATTTATTTCAGATATCTAAAATAAATAAATATTTTATTTTGAATTTCTAAATTTAACACGAGATTAATATTGATTAAATGTATGTCTATCTTATTATTTCATATCTAACATATCAATTAAACAAAGAACAAGTAATAGTAATAAGTTTGTTAAAATCTCAGTCTGCCGGCTTATTCCTTTTTTGAAACAGAATACGAAGTCTTCTTATTTTGTTTTTAATCTACATTCTAATGAATATCAAGCAGAGAAAATAAACTAAACTAACTATGACATGGTGATTATTTGAAATGTCTTTTAAAAAAACATGTTATCATTCAATGTCGTAATAAAGTTCGAGAATCATCATAAACTTCTTTATACAACAGTACAGAAAACTCTTTAGATAAATGATGCGTTGAATACAATTAAAGATTGTTTAGAAATTATTTAATAGCTCAAAAAATTGATATATTTACATGAAAATTTATAACTAGTTTTCAAGTCTTTCAATTGAAGATATTAGAAAACGAAAAATAAAACTTTCTAAATTGCTTTAATTTTTTTAAAAACCCTCTCGGACGAAGTATTAACATGGGAGTATTTTTTTATCCATAATAAATTACTTTTTCATCAAATGATTCTATTGTATAAAAAAAGACATAACATAATTC